GGATAGTATTACAGGTAGGCCACACCCCTGGGGAAACTCCCCCTAGACTGACCGGCCGCTTAGGACGTAGTCATGTGATCCATCATGAGAAACAACACTCACAAGTGAAGTCCAGCCAAGTTGACAGATCTTCAGCTATCACAGTTATCATGTGTCAAGTGCCATGTATATTTTTTCACACTTAATTTTCATAATAACCTTGTAATTTTCTGCAGTTTGGTGATATTTTCTCCATTTGTTAGATGAACACAGTGAACTTGCTAAAAATAAACTAATGGCTGCTGCCTCTCTGCCACAGAAACCTTTGTGGAAAAACCTGCAGATGGCAGAGAGCTTTCAGACAAAAGCTGGAAGAGTGTGAAGGCGCTGACCTAGGCTTGGACTCCTTGGTAGAACTGGCAAATTGAATTTACTACTGTTGAGCCAATTACCCTTGTTCTCAAATTATCTTCCTTTCTGCCAGTAATGCAATAATTTTCAATTTAAATGTAGCCCAAACTATAGTCAACTCCTTTGGCTTAAGAAGCAGTCTTTTCCTCTGAGGTCACCTTTTAGCTAAATAAAATTGGCTTATAAAATAAAAAATATTACCAGTGATTACTGTGCACCTTTAAAAAATCTGTATGAGACCAAATGGTCAACAATGAATTACTCTAAAGCAAAGATGGGAGCTCTAGTGGCACAGGGAAACCAGATTACTGGAAGGAAAACACCCAGAAGGGAATGTAATACATTGTGAACAATGTAATTAATGTCTCTGAACAATTTGTGTAGTAATTGTTAAATGGGAACCTAATGTGCTATGCAAACTTTGACTGGAAACACAATAAAATATTATTTTAAAAGCAAACAAACTAGAGTCTGTCTTTTATAAAAGACACATTACCATGGGAGGGTAGATCTTTCTTGGTGTGGAATAATTCTATCAATTTAATTTCTTCCCAGCACTTAAGGGGGGAAAACACTGATGCTTGAAGGCATAAGAATGTTGTTTTTGTTTCTAATCATCTTATGGGGCCTCCGGAGACACAAGGAGGGAAGAAAGTAACTTGCTTTCTACCCTGTAGCATCAATGGCTGATTGAGGAGCAGAAAATGAGAGAGAGACAGAGAAATATGCACTCTGTTCCTCTTCTGCTTCCCTGTCTCTCACTCTCTTTTTTATTTTTATTATGGTAAATATATAGGTAACAAAACATTTGCCATTTCAAGAGTCTTCACATGTACACCTCAGTGACACTGACCATGTTCATCATGTGGTCCAAACCATCACCATTAACCATTCCCAAATCTTTCATTGCCCTTAACAGAAGCTCATTGCGTGTCTTTTTTTATTAGTCTATCTAGAGTTTTGTCCATTGTTGAAAATGGGGTCGTGAAGTCTCCAGCTATTATTGTAAAACTGTTTGTTCCTCTCTTCTGTTCTTTCAGTGTTTGCTTCAGAGCTGTTTGGTGCAGGGAGCCCTGGTGGAACAGTGGTTAAGTGCATGGCTGATAACTTAAAGGTTGGTGGTTTGAATCCACCATCTGCTCCACAGGAGAAAGATGTAGCAGTCTGCTTCTGTAAAGATCACAGTGTTGGAAACCCTCTGGGGCAGTTATGCTCTGCCTTATAGGGATTGTGTGGTGGTTAAGTTTGTGTGTCAGCTTGGCTGGGCCTGGTTGAGTGGCTGGGCAGCTGGTGGTAGTTATTTCCCATGATGAGACTGGTAATCAACTCCATGGTGGGACCTACCACAAGCAGCTGAGTAGCTGCTTTAGGGATATGGTCTACTTCCTGTATATAAGAAACAACTTTGGGAATGGTTTCTAGTTCATGGCATACTTGAACCCTGCATGTAGTCTTGTCGTTCATCAGCCTGCCATGCTCTGCCGACTGTGGGACTTTCAGTGGACTTGAGTTAATGGCCTGCCGTGTGATTTGGTAACATCGGACTGTGCCTTTTTACTTGTCAACCTTGGGCTTGTCAGTTTCAGCAGCCAGTAGCTGTCTGAGTGAAGAAAAGCCTCTAGCTCCAGTGGGCAGGGAGCAGGAGGCAGAGCTGAAGCCCAAGGTTGAGGGGCTTTAATCCCTAGACCTGGCACTTTGAACTTGGACTTAAAGCCTCCAAACTGTAAGAGAATAAACTCCTGTTTCTTCAGGCCATCCCATTTGTGGTATATTCTTGTTAGAGTGGCACTAGGTAACCAGAACAGGGATGTTAGGAGTCAGAATCAACTCAGTGGCAACAAGATGGGTTTTTAGCAGGTTGTTTAGTGTGTACATGTTTATTGTTACATCTTGATGAATTGGCTCTTTTTATCAATATATAATGGCCTTTTTTTTTCTCGTAAGAATTTTGACTTAATGTCTATTTTATCTAATACTAGTATAACTAATCCAGCTCTTTCTCTCTCAAATATTAATTTGCTTATTATTTGCATCCTTTACTTACAACCTCTTTGTATGGATCTAAAGTGAGTCTCTTGTAGACAGCATATAGTTGGATCATGCTTTTGTTTTGTTTTGTGTGCTAATCCATTCTGCCAGTCTCTGTTTTTTAATTGCTGAGTTTAATCAAATAACATTTGAAGTTGTGATAGTTGGAGCTGGGTGTCAACTTGGCTGGACAACAATTCCGTGTTGTTTAAGCAATTGTGATGTGGGTTATTCCCATGATGGGATCAGATATATATGTTTTGAGCAGCTAATCCATTGAAAGGAAGTTTCCCTAGGGATGTGGTCTGATTCCAATATATTTATGGAGATACTGGGAAAAGAGATACTCTTCTGTGGATCAGGATCCTGTTGTGCTGCCTACAACTGTTCATGAGCGAACAATCCACCATTTAGCCTGGAGATCTTGGATTTGTCATTCATTGGAGTCAATAGCTGGTATACTGCCTGCCAACCTTGAGCTTGTTAGCAGCCCTTGCAGCTGCATGAGTCGGGAAAAGCCTCCAGCTTGAGGTTTGATCCAAGAACTTGGGACTTGTCAACTTCTATAAGTGTGTGAACCATTTTCCTAAGATAAATTTCTCTTTCTCTGTATGTATATATAAGCTTTACTGGTTTTGCTTCTCTAGAGAACCCAGCCTAACACAGAAGTGATTCTGACAGAAAAGGATTTCTGTCATTTTCCTATTGTTTTCTATTTTTTTTTTTCATTCAGTAGACTATTTTTTAGAACAGTTACCACAGATAAATTGAGTC